GGAGATGGATCTGTTTGTTCGCTGAAGGCAGGGGAGGTGACCCAGACGGCAGCGCTACGATGTGGCTCCCCTGCGCGCTCAATTTTAGAAGAATCTAGACGACCACAGTCTGCTGGGCAAGTCTCTTAACGCAAAGGAGGAGAAATAATTGAGCTGATGCGTGGGCCCACCTCAACTGCAATCGTACCAGATATCACTATACTATAGAAACTAATTTAATTTTTCTAGTTAGAAATAGTTTATACGAAATCACCTTTAGATCATGCCTGTGAAGATAATACAGTCGTTTATACTCGTCCATCCAAACCTCCGCAAGCCTCTTGGAATTTGTGCCGTGGACGTCTTTGTTACCTCCTCTACCTGAAAAATTGTAGATTAGGCAAGAGACAGACCAGACCAGAGAAATCACGCTATATTCAGATTTCTATATCGAAAACTGTACAACGGGCATCAACCTGTCATGTTGTACGGATGTCCAGCGCGGAATATGTGGCCCACGTGCGAACACGGAATAAACTCTATCGAACCACCACACGTCCATACCTGATAAGGTTGATAATAAACACAACAAATTGAAAAAAAAACAAAACCAACCCTGAAAGATATCTCCAAGTTTTCTCCACCCCATATATCCATCTCCTCGTCATAAGCGCCAACTTCGAAGAAGTATTCACGATTAGCGGCTAATAAACCCCCAGCCATGGTAGGAGACCTAGAAATAGTGTCCAAAAATTGAATTGCAGATGGAATTGAAACATCGAATTGCCTTTTGTTTTTTCTAAACCCTGTACAAGAACTCTAGCACCGCATTAGATAATGCTTGAAAGAAGTGCGCGATTAACTAATACGCGAAAACCCTTTCTTGGACCAGATGGCGTGGTCCGCAGTCTCAGAGGTGTCCCACTTCCGGATTCAAGTTGCCTGGTAGCAACGCCAAGGCTCCGCAGCGGCAAGCAGTCTTCAGCCTCTCCCCTTCCCCGCAACCGTACTCCTCCTTTATCATTCGATTTCACAATCGTTTGTGTACTATCTCAACACTTCCTCCCTCCCCCCACCCTCCACGGTCTATTTCTCTATTCTACGCTCAGTGCCTTTTCATCGTAAGCTCTAGCGATTTGTAACGACGCCTATTTATTTAGACATGAGTCTTATATGGGTAATGGTGCTTATGCCTAAGTGGCTCCACCCATAAAATCGGCTCGGATAGACCTTTACCCTTTTACTTTAAGACTGGTGGGAGGGGAGAGGGGGAAGCAACATAGTTTTTTCACGAACAAAATTCGGTGATACGCAGCTTTTAACAAACATTCGGTGATACGCAGCTTTTAACAAACAAACCTTATATACTCCGTCGGATTTTGCCTTCGATTTTTCTCTCTTTCAGGCATGCTTTCCCATGTGAAGTGCAGGGCCCAAGAAAACCCTGGAGCAACAGGAAATGTTTAATAGTTGACGACATACAGAAAAGTAGAGGTTAAGATCGCCAAACATACCTCCAACTGAAGTTGAGTAAGGATCTCCGTTATAGCGCATGTCTTCAGCTGATATATGGTCGATAATTGGACAGATGATTGCACTTCGCTTTTCGCTAATGCGCTGCACAAGTGGCTCCAACCTGAAGAGTAATTGAACCACTTTTTTGTTCTTCATCGATGAATAAGCTACAAGGAATGAACTAATAAATTAGACTGATTGGATTATAAATCAGAAAATATTAGGCTAAGTAAATATTAATGTGCTTCCCCAGAACGACAAAGACTGATAGTTCCAGCTTAAAAAAAACTCACCAACCAGCGTTTGCTTCACAGTGCGAATCCAAAAAGATGATAACATCACCGGTTGCCTCTCGTGCTCCAGCTATTTTAGCCCTAATCAAACCATGCCTGACATTCTTCCTCAGAATGCGAACTAATCCATTGAAGCGACGAACATATTCATCAAGATGCTCCTTCAAATCCTCTGAAATAATTCTCGATAGCACAGGAGAGGCAGTATAAGCCTGAAGTACGTTCTAGATTGTATACTGTGTTTGCTAGACGAAGATGACATCAGCGATGTGAGACAAACGAAAAAAATTTGTGTAATACGGTTTGATTAGGAAAATCGATATGTGGACGACACGTCGAAATAACGCTGTTCAGTTCGAAATAGAAAAAAGGAATTAGAGGGGATTACGAAATTGTGGATTACGAGAGCTGATGTAGACCAATTTCGCTGACAAGACTTTACTGGGCTTATGAATTGCTACTGCACAACTGTTTCCTACGCCACACCCAATTGGACGAGTACCAGTTCACACTGAGAATGCGCTTAGGATCTAGTATGGACTAAAGAGGAAGTTTGGAAGAAAACCAGGCGGACTTTAACCTCACCAAAATTACGATGGTTTCGCTAAAAAACGTAGTGTCATACGCTTGAGAGAGAAACAGGGTGACCGACATTCTCCAAAGGAGACTAAATGGAAAATCCCACGTACCTCTCTGGCTGTTATCGTCGACGAGTATTACTTCTTTCAGCAACTGTGGCGGACTTCTGTTTTCACAAGGATGGTGAACAGTTCGTCAGTCAGAAGGACTCCTGAAGATAATGATGACGGATGCCTCAAACACGTGATATTAACTGATCACAAGTACACTTACCTATTGAACATCGGAACTAGTCGCTCTGAATTTTTCCAAGAGAAATCGCTTTGTATAAGCTGACATTCATCCAAAATATGAACCACATAACATTATAGGTGTGAGTTCCGATAAGCTATGGTAAATGTATCATTGAAAAGATGGCCGAAGGCGCGTTGGATCTCCGATAGCGTACAGGATAAGCATTGTGTTCCCAATACACATCGCTAAGTTTTAAACCACGCTCCGCCTTCATTAGATGTTGAGGCATCTTTTTTGGACACGGTAGTTTTGTCGCCAAACATCAAGGATGTACAACTTTCGCAGCTTCAAAAACAGGCGAGGAGAGCACGAACCGCTCGCGAAAAGGCCTCGGCTCCGCCTTACTGGCCACCGCAACGCCCGAATTTTACTTCTCAAGGTATCTTGATGGTGCGGTTATTCCTTTACCCTCTCCATTTCAAGTGGTGAGAGTGAGGTGATAAGGGAAACCTGATATCAACATGTGAGAACTCGTCCAATCGTCCTTTCTTCACCTACAAGTACGGCTAAGCATGGTGATCTGCCTGGGGCATATCGGAGAGACTTTTCTACTTCTTCGTTCACTATACTGTTACCTACCCCCTTTTCATTGGTATTCCATCCGCACTACCCATCATTTTTTGACAAGAGATTTCCTTTTATTCTAGTTAAAAACCGAACGTTTCAACTACTACTCAGTGTCCTTGTGATAAAATATGAGCATGCGTTTGCTTCTTAAGTACATAGTTGAAAGTGTTCCTTATGCTCGCTTCATGGCGCATCTCGCTTCCTGAGAACGTAAATAAGTAAACTGATTAATATTATTGGTCGAAAGTCCGTAGAGGTTCAGTTATTTCTTATCCCTCGCGCTCTGACTGGAGCTTAAGCAATTCAAGAAAAGTGTTACAACATACTTGAGGAAGATTTTCGAGATCGTATTTAATGGCCTTGCATTCTTCCCTTCGTGTATCCGGTAAGCTCCTGTCCAAAGAAATCATGTCGCTGAAACCATCGACAATGAGTAAGTGAAAAATCGAGACTCGTTCATAGTATATCGCTCGGAGTCTTCCCTTCTGCCCATTATTCGGTATTCTTGCTTAGGGGCATAATTCAACAGAAAAAAAAACGAAGAGGTTCGCTTGTCAATCGCAGCATTGCGCAACTAACGTAAAAAATCCCGCGACAAAACGAAAACGGTTACGGGGGTTGCTAGAAATAAAAGCCTTCGGAAGGCAGCGTATATTAGTTGCGAATATTGTTCTATACCCACTTCAAAAGGGAAACATTGAAAATTCGAGTAAAGTAGTCGCATATCCCTGTTGAATGGCTAAGGCGTAAAGCATTCGCCGCTTCAATCTCTTCTTTATGCACCACGCTTTTTCCTTCTTCCCAGAATCGCAGCGGCCATTAGAATACAATATGGCTTCGACAGCAACTTGCGAAGGCCAGCTGATGTGGAAGTCAGTGCCCTCATACTGTCAGTATCTACGTAGTACCAGTTCACCGCCCTCGTAGGAAAGGAAGCCTGGTTGGCCTGCGATGAAACCGATCCAGATTCGACCTCCTGACGCGCGCGTGATAAACTTGCCATTCGCCATTACACCAAGGCTCCTGTTTCCTTTCACAGCATTGCTCTTCAACTGAATGTCAGCTAGTGGCTGCCGAATCGACGAACGTCCTTTTAGGAATCAATATATGACTTGCTTTGTTTTTCAAGTTCATGCTGATTATTTGCATTTATCTGCTGGTGCTTAATCAATTGCTAATCAATCAATCATTACTTCGGCGCACTTCGGCTCGTTTGGGGGGGGGGGTCATGGAAGTGGGAGAAGTCGCATTTCCGCTTCCTATCGTCGAGCCATCGATTAGAGGTTAAAGAAATTTTGTGGAAACATGAAGTGATACGAGTCAATGTCAGTCCTCGAGAGACCTCAAGCCAACCTTCGTAAAGCAATGAACACGACGACGGGAAGTAGCGCAAGTGCAATATCTCCCAGCCCCCAGCCAAACTGTACCACTGCTTCCATAATCTCGCTCTGAAGGCGACTTGAGGGTAACTGTTAACTTAGGCAAGCGCATAGCTAAAGAGATAATGTTGAGAACTGGTTTCAATCTCCTAGTCCCAACTCCTAAACTTCCTCCAAAATTTATATCTCTCATATGATTCCCAGATGTCCTGCCCTATTTATCATTAAGGAGCACACATTCTGCGCTTTACCCTGCATGAAACGCTCTACGCAGCTGTGTCACCGGCTATTCAAAGAATCCAAAGCAAAAGGTGCAATAAAAAGAGCGCATAACGCGCGCAATGTGTCACGGAGAACCATAGCACAGAACAGATGACGCAGTCATTTTTCGAGGACAGCACTATGTTCCTCAGTAAGAGAGTTCGCTGAAAGGTCGAAGTTTGTCATAATTGGGAAGTCATGCTTATTCATAAGAGGTTCGCTCTCAAAACCTCCGGGAGCTAGAGGGTTAATATCACCTGAACCTTCTTTAATGGTCACATTTTATTCTTGAACAATTCTTCCTTTTTTTCTCTTCCCTAAGCCTTGTCTTAGCCCAAAAAATAACACTTGCAGCACTCTAGAAATCGGAGTAAACAAAAAAGTGAGAATATAACAACTGCATAAACACTCATCTTTGCCGTTTAGCCCTCTTCTGCAGACCACCTGTAGAAGACAAGTCTACGGTAAAACCATTTCCAAATAAAAAAAAGTGGAAGCAGATGCGAGAATTCATCCCTCATAAAGTCTGGGGCAGATTTTCCAGGATGTAATCCCCAGCTCTCATATCACTGCCTCGAGCAAGCGACGCTGTGTAATGCTCGCATATTACGTAATCATATGGAGACGACAGCACGCCAAAGCGCACATGTTCCCGTGACATATTGCGGAAAATGGAAAGATCAATATTTGAAATTGTTTGGATTCGTTTATATCTACCTCGCAATTCAATCAGATAGTCGATTACAATAGAAAAAGCCAGCATAAATTGTATTTGTGAAAACTAAATCAAAAAAGGGCGCAGTTTGGCTTTGGGGTGGAGGGGGGGGGGGGCATTTTACACTTTCGCTACTCCCCGTCGTCGTATCGAGCCATCAAGTAAAGACACGTGATATCTTGTGGAGCCATGCCATGAGGTGATAGCAGTCCAAGTTTGCAGTGATTTTTACACCAGTTAGCCGTGATTACTGTCAACTCCTAACAGCAATGAACACGACGATGTAAGCAGCGAAAGTGCAAAGTGCCTTTAACCCCTCACCCCTCCCTAGCCGAACTGCGCCCAAAAAGCTAATCATAAAAATTACCTCGCTCTCACATTCATAAACCATTTCTTCATATCATCTTCCCCTTGTTTTTTGTCCTCTCCCTGCAATGCCACACCCAGTCCGTTCTCTCCAGGTGCTCCTGGTGCAACTGGAGGCGGCTCCCATGACCGTTTTGATGGTCTGGACTCTTTCCTACCTAAAAAACCATATAGAACTGCTACCTAAGACGACAGAAATATGAAATTCTATGTTGCCTGAAAGCAGCCCACCATCAGAAAATGCAAGCAACGCTTGAAGCGGGCAGGATCAACTTTCTTCAGCTGCTTTCACACTTTGCGCCGTAGAAAAGAAAAATTAGCGAATAGACTTTCGAAAGAATGCGCGGAGGAAAATATAGAAATCGATCGGCGTTCTGGGAGAATAGGAGAATCGCGAATCAAGGTTGTGGGCTAGCGACCCGCGCCGATCGATACCCAACCACTCCTTTAGAGCGCGTTCAGACTTCGCGATCGCGCGATCCGATCGCGCTACTGAGGGTGAAATTACTGCGGGAGGGGGTTATGTGCGTATATGTTTATTGATCCTGCTCTCTCTCTCTCTCTCTCTCTTTTTTCCTTCTTTCTTCCTTTGTGTACATAACGCCCTCCTAATTTTAAAGAACGTTTCGAAATATCTTTGAGTTATTTATTATTTCCTATGTAAAATAGTACTAAATATACAATATGCTAATTATTATACTGAATTTTGCATCTGAGTACGTTCAAGCGGAGTATTGAACATCTTGTTCCAAAAGTAAGACACGCAGAACTTTTAACAGCGGGTGATTGTGTCTGCTCTCCTTCCCCCGATTTGCCAGTCCTGCCAGATTAGTTCACTTTACTTTTGTCACATTTGTGTTTGCTTTGTTTGTTCTGCCATCCTCCAGGTCTATACACAACCTTTCCTTTCGACGGTTTCTGCAAACGTCAGTATTGCGAATATGAACACGGAATAAAAGACATCAAAAAAGGTCGAACTACTTTTATATCGTTTTTGGAACTGCCTATTGGAGGCAGGATACAGCATTGTGATGTGAGAAATGGTGATTTTAGTACGCTCCCTTCCCAGAACTTTGTTGTGGTTTTGTTGAGTTGAGTGAACCAACGTAACGAACATGACCCCCTCCCCGCAGACATTCCCTAAGTTAGCGCGATCGATCGCGCGCGATCCTATCATGGCGATCAGTGAAGTCTGAACGCGCTCTTAGCGCAACCGCCCCAAAAGCTGAGTTTTTTAAAAAGCCGCATCGCTCAATCACCGCATTCGCCAAACCGACCCCTATACTTTCCTCGTCGTCGCTCATTCTCCGCGCCAGCCGCCGAGGCTAAACAAGTCGCCCAAGTTCCGAGTCGCGAAGTATGAACGCGGCCTAAAGTATGAACGCAGCTCGAATCTTGGCATAGTTTTTTTTCACTTGAGCCGTCTACTTGTCATCACGGGTCCTAACACAAGATTTGGCCTTATCGCCAACACTGATTTGGACTCGGGACCGATACTTGGCTAGCTTCCTCAAATGTCCAAATCCAGAATTCCGAGACTCAGAAGCGAAAATGGGTAAAATCGAACCATGGGAAAGACGTCAATCATCCACGCCAATATCTATAAAGTTTGATATGCGAACGCCCTGTCGCAGGAAAAAGCGCATTAAATGCTGCACATTCGCCATAATGGGAACAAAATAGTTAGCCCCGTTAATGCATTTTTCGCCAGAACTTGAGCCATCCCATCAGTATTCCGCATATTTTATTAGCAAGCAACGACGGAGACGGAATAAAAGGGATGTGGGTGTTATCCAGAATCTTTCCTTACTATTCAGTGAAGGGTGAAAAGTCACAGGTACTAAGTAATAATACTAATAATAATTGTAATAATAATAAGGAACGGAAAATGAGCAACTCACTCAGGAACCGGTTTTCATTTTCCAGCCTGATGTAAAAAACGACGCCAGCACAAAACGCAAGAACAATAAGAAAATTTAAAACATTTTCCTTTCGTCGTGGGATGATATATCGAGCAAAGCCCATGCCAATTAAGGCCTAGAATATTTTCATTAACAAGATAATCAATTGAATCAGAGTTGTCAGAGACAAGAAATGCTAATAGGAAGACCGATCCACTAATGGGGTTAAGTAGAACGAGGACTGCGGTAGAATGGGACACGTAATTTGTCCTTGAACTGACCTCGCTCGCATTATAAAAAAAGGAGAAATGGGAAAAGGAAAGAGAAAACTTGAAACGAGGTGAGAACTAGGAAAGGGAGCCAGTCCATGAGTTAACCTTGCAGTTGAAGTCTTTCGGGCAATAAAAGTGAAAAATTCAGCGCATAACGTCAGATCGCCGGGGAGACCAAGTCGATGCCAACGTGGGCCATGCGGGAGCCCCTTCATTTAGGGCAGTAATCGGCGCTCCAACACGAACTACGTGACATTTACCAACAATGGGAATACACCATGGTGATATTGGCTGGCTGCTATCGCTTGAATCCACTAACAATGGGGTTAAGGTGGTTGGTGGGGTGAGGAATGTCATTCTGTTTTGGCACTTCATCGATGAAACCACTGTTTCAGCACGATATCGTCACAAGCCCAGACTCAAAATTCAGCGCTAAGGTAGTACGAGAGGGAAGGGAGCACGCGGCATCTTGTCCATATCCCCTCCCACTCCTAGAGCTCACTCGTGGCAGAGCGCAGATACCAGAGGCGTCACGGACTAGTGTCGCACAGAAGACATAATCGCGCCGTAGCGCGCTCATCTCACCTTGGACTACTTCAGAGCCCAAAAACTAAACTCACGGAACGCGTTGGCGGAGGGAACTACAAGTTCACTTACTTCAAGCCATAATCCAAGGTCAGTGAACTAGAGCCAACACACTACTGATAGAAATAACTTGCACATATACGACTTCACAAAAAAAACAGTCTCGGAAACTTGCGCTGAAATCAACCCAGTGTCGCACAGTAGAGTCCTATAAAAGATAATGGTCGCCAAAGTATTGAAGGGTTTGAAAGAACATGAGGGACTAGGAAATCATAAGACCTGCGGCGACTCTGGTCGTCTGCGCTCTAGGCTTAAAGACAGCCCCGCGCTCGAGTAGTACATGGTCGTCCTTCCTTGTGCAAGTAGTACAGCCCCCAAGCTAGAGACTGTCCCACTCTCGCGACTCCACAGCGAGCTACAGCCGCTGAAAGTTCTAGTTCTAACGCCCGCCCAGTTGGACCGCCCACTTGCTAGATGCCCTCTGACGGAGAGCCGCTCAGTTGTTCTTTGTTGGGGCGGCGGGCATTAATCGGAATTGCATGCCCTTTTTGCTGACCGCGCTCGTGCCCATGAATGATTCTGCTCTCCTTTATTACATTTTATTTATTAGGAGCACATACAGTCAACTCCAACCCATCTTGCAAGGTAAAACGCGTAAAAATCACGAGCGACCCAATTTTCGTGGTGCAAAAGCTCGACGCACCACACTACACTAAAAGATGCACGCTACCGTAACCCTAAATTCAGACGCCGAGTTTTTGAAAGTTTCTTTTCCTTTTCAAGAGTTTTTCTTCCGTGTTTTTGTTGTTTTTCGTATTCTTTTCATTGCATTGGATGATATCCACTACTGGGAGATGTGATAAAGGGATTGTGAGCCAGGGGTTGCACAGAGACCGCAGGAAGGTGTGACTGCCAGGGAGCGATTTTTATGGTGTTCTTGAGGACTCTTCTTGCTTTTTTCTTCTTTGGGGAATTACTTATCAGCTACTGTTTCATAATTGAAAGCAGCTATCCATGACACTTTTCGCGGGAGCTGTCTTTAAGCTCTGCAGAGGCACTGTCGCGTGGCTTAGTGGGAGAAACAGACTCATTCACACCGGGAAGAACTGTAGCTATAGTTATGGATTGTACGTTATTCTCTACACTAATTTTTCTGAGCTTCCTAAGTCTTTGGGAAGCCACAGGTTCGCTTCTAGGGGGCCACTGACGACACCACCGCAATAGATTCTGGTTCCCGTACCCGATTACTAGTTGTGTAGGTAGACAAACACATTATGAAAAGTAGAGAAAAAAACAAGTTCTGAGAATAAGAATTCTTGATTCGGCTACATCTGCTTGCCTTTGTGCCTTGAAACATGCAGTTTTGTATGAAAATCCCGGACAGCTGCAACCGTGTGTGCAGCTGTGATGGCCCAGGTGTGACAGATCGGCATGAGTCTACATAACTGGCTTCTGTCATAGCTATTTAATAGCTATGCTGTACTACAAAGTCACAAAAGGGCTCACACTTAGTGCTCAGACGTATCATGTCAAAATAAGATCCTCTTATGATACTAAAATGAAGTTTATAATGCAGCGCAGATACCTTGCCCACATCAGAACCAATAACCAGAAATTCGCAGAATCGAAAAACCCATGATAAAATTACTGGGTATCTGCCAACCGACACGTTTTCCTTTCTCGCGGAGTCTTGCAAGGTATGTACTTGACAAACAACTATAATTCAAATATATTTGGACCAGGAACAGCTAGGCGGTGATATTCTCTCACTACAGGGGTGCATGCACTACAGTACACGTGAAAAATGAAAAAAAAGCTCAGAAATACTGGAATCAGCAACCGAAAACATTTTTCTTGAAGGTGAATAGGGTCCCCGACTAGCAACCAAAAACGACCCACTTACTGCTGGGGATCTCCAATGTAAACGGAGCAATCTATGTCAGGCAGATAAATCACCTGAAGTGGGGAGACGGGCAAGAGAATCGTAAATTGCCGCTTCGTCGCGCGCAGCAATGACGTTTCCTTAATTCGTACTACCCTTTCGATTGGAGCATCGGATTTCATGTAGACAAGGACATGGTTCTGTTTTTGGTCATACATTGTCTATTCTCGATCAATACCACCTAAAATCGTCGTCATTAGCGGGCGCGACGTCGCACGCGACGCCCACTGGCGCGGCGAATTACGATTCTCTTGCCACATACAGGGTACAGCATCGTGATGTCTGAAATGGTAGTGTAGTACGACCCCTCCCCCCCCCCGAGAAAGGGTGTCAGTACGACCCCTCCCCACCTAAATGAGGGTCTCGGTACGACCCGCCTACCCCCTCCCCCTTCCCCAACGTCTACCTACCGATTTTCCCCATTTTCCAGTTTTTCACCCAAAGATTTTCCGTCGAAAGGAGGGGAGGGTAGCGGTATATAGCCAATGTGAAACAGGGGGAAATTTCTTGGATTCTCCAACTTCCTGCCACTTTTTCCAGAATTTCCCGAGAATTTTCCTACTTTTCCACAAAAATGTTGCTGTCGAGCGGGAGGTTATATAGACAGATGAAAAAGGAAAAATCGCGCGAAAAGTCAACAAACAGGAAAATTTTCTGCTAACGCAAATTTCTCTCAAAGGCACATACGACCCTGCCCCTCCTCTCCAGCGGAGAAGTACGACCCCTCCATGTGTTTCCCTCAACGATGCCTGGCCACATACCCCTGAAGTGGGGATATTAGGAAAAGGCTAGCAAAACGCATTAAGAAACATTTTGTTGATTAGAGGTTCTATAACAGCAATATCACTGGTAAGCAATTGGTCGAGAAATAGCGTGGGGCTGATTCTTAGAAAAAGTGCAATATTTTAGCACATGAGATTAAGATTAGCTCCAGATCAGCGTTTGAAGCATTCTGAATCCAGCAGCGCACTAAAAATTGTTACAATCTGAAACAAAAATCACTTGAAGAAGACATCTGTTGAGCCGGCAAGCGCCGTCAAAACATGAGATGTCATCATTCGGAGCGGAAGAACGACGGGTACGACAAACACCTTGGACATTTTCGCGATCGCCGTTAAATCTCAGCGAATCACACCACAGGTACGTGCGCTGATCTTCTCCTCCCCCCTCCTTCCTCCACATGGAAAATCCATCAAACTCAGTTCATGGAGTGATGGCGTGGAGTAGGGTTGTCCCTTGACCAGGGCACGTCGTCGCGGTGGGGAGGGGTGGCTATGCTCTTCTCCAAAGACGATCAATCATCTTACCAACCTTTCGGAGAAACTGGCTGTCGAGCAGGGGTGGGATGGCGGATGGGGGGGGGGGGGTAGACAGCTGCGATCAGCTACCAGAAATAATAGTTTTGCGGAGGCGCCGTCGATTGCAGAAAAACCAGAAGCACTTTTCTCACGAGAAAAGTCGTTTACGGCGTGCTCCGCTTTTTCAAAATGGTTTTGAGCATTTTCTAGGGGCTTGCACGTAGACCACGTTGAAAAAAGTGATGTTTATTTTTCACTGA